TAATCAGACAAGAAGAAGAAATAAAAGACGTCCAAATTGGAAAGGAGGAAGTAAAACTGTCATTATTCATAGATGACATGATAGTGAATATACAAAACCCTAAAGACTCCACCGAAAAACTTCTGTATTTAATAAATGAATTTGGCAAGGTAGCAGGATACAAAATTAACACCCAGAAATCAATATTATTTTTATACATAAATAATGAAATCTCAGAAAGAGGAACTAAACAAATAACCCCATTAACCATTGCATCAAAAAATTAAGATACTTAAAAATAAACTTAACTAAGGAGAGATAAAAGACTTGTACTTGGAAAACTACAGAATGTTGAAAAAAGAGATAGAGGAAAATATACAGGGGTGGAAGAATACACCATGTTCATGGATTGGTAGAATTAACATCATTAAAATTTCCATAGTACCCAAAGCAATTTACAGATTCAATGCAATCCCTATTAAAACATCAACAGCATATTTCACATATCTAGAAAAAATACTCCAAAAATTTATATGGAAGCAAAAAAGACTCTGAATAGCTGCAACAATCTTGAGAAAGAAAAACAAAGTTGGAGGTATCACAATACTGAATATAAAGTTATACTACAGAGCCACAGCTTGGTACTGGCATATAGGTCAATTGAAAAGAACAGATTTTTCAGAGATCAACCCATGCCATTATACTCAATTAATATTTGACAAAGGAGGCAAGAATATACAATAGAGTCAAGACAGTCTCTCCAATAAATGGTGTTGAGAAAATTGGACAGATACATGCAAAACTAGGCAACCAAGTTACACTATACACAAGGAAAAACTCAAAGTGTATAAAATATTTAAATATAATTAATGAAACCATAAAAATCCTAGAAGAAACCATAGGCAGCAAAATCTCTGACTTGGTAGCCAGAGTTTTTAATATTAAGCTGAATGCTGTTTTAAATGATATATGTAAATTTTATTTATTTGGCAAAGTAATTGCTAAAATTCCTGTCATTGAATTTCAGAAATGTGGATTGCCTCACACTCACATATTACTGAAATTAGATAGTGAATCCAAATTACAAACAGAAGATGACATTGACCATATAGTTAAGGCAGAAATTCCAGATTAAGGCCGGTGTCCTTGACTTTTTCAAATTGTAAAATCAAATATGGTACATGGACCATGTGGAATAAAAAATCCAAATACTCCATGTATGGAAAATGGAAAATGTTCAAAGGGATATCCAAAAGAATTTCAAAATGTGACCATTGGAAATATTGATGTATATCCCAAATACAAACGAAGATCGGTAGCACCATGTCTGTTGGAAATAAAGTTGTTGATAACACTTGGATCGTTTCTTATAACTCATATTTGTGCCTTAAATATAACTGTCATATAAACGAGGTCTGCTCATTGATTAAATGTGTCGAATACCTATTTAAATATATCTATAAAGGGTATGATTGTACAAATATTCAAATTTCTGAAAAAAATATTATCAATCATGAAGAAGTACAGGACTTTATTGACTCCAGGTATGTGAGCACTCCTGAGGCTCTTTGGAAACTTTTTGCAATTCGAAAGCATGACCAATTTCATGAAATCACAAGATTACCTATTTATTTGCCAAATGAATAAAATTTGTATTTTCATACTGATGATTCTGCTGAAGTTAAAGATAGGGCTAAAAGGCATAACTGAACTTTGCTTGGTTCTTATTGAATAGAGAAGATTCTGATAATTATTATTGGGAGATTTCACAGCATTATGTGTTTAATAATCCTTTGTGGACAAAACGCCAAAAGGGTGGGAATAAAGTATTAGGTAGACTGTTCACTTTGAGCTTTAGAGAATCAGAACAATGTTACCTTAGACTTTTGCTTCTGCATGTAAAAGGTGCAGTAAGTTTTGATGATCTGTGAACTGTAAGAGCTGTAACTTATGTTACATTTCATGAAGCTGCTAAACACCAAGGATTATTAATCGGTGACACTATCTGGAAAGATACGATTGACGATGCAATCATCCTTGATATGCCCAAACATCTACGGCAACTTTTTGCATTCATATGTGTGTTTGGATGTCCTGATGCAGACAAATTATGGGATGAGAATAAATCTCATCTTATTGAAGATTTCTGTTGGAAATTATACCAAAGAGAAGGTGCCTGTGTAAACTGTGAAATGCATACTCTTAACAAAATTCAAGAGGTATTCACATTGCATTGAATGAAATGTTCACATTTCAAACTTCCAGATTATCCTTTATTAACAAATACAAATACATGGGTTGAATCATATGAACGACAACAGGCAGATGTTTTGATAAATTCTCTAAATGATGAACAGTTGGCAGCCTTTCAGACTATAACTTCAGTCATTGAAGATCAAACTGTACACCCCAAATGCTTTTTCTTGGATGGTCCAGGAAGAAAACATACCTGTATAAAGTTTGAATACATTATATTAGAGGTCATGGTGGTACTGTTTTACCCACAATGTCTACAGGAATTGCTGTAAGTTCACTTCTCAGTGGAAGAAGCTTTTAGTCCCAATATAAATTACCAATTCCATTAAATGAAACTTTGATTTCTAGACTTGATGTAAAGAGTAAAGTTGCTAGAACAAGGGAGGGCAGTAAGTGTGACTGGGCCAGCAAGGGAGGCAATTAGGGGCAACCAGGCTGGCAAGGGAGAGAAGTTAGGGGTAACTGGGCCAGCAGGGGAGGGCAGTTGGGGGCGACCAGTCCAGCAAGGGAAGGCAGTTAGGGGAAATCTGGCCGGCAGGGGAGCAGTTAGGCGCCAATCAGGCTGTCGGAGGAGTGATTAGGGGGTGATCATGCTGGCAGGCAGGTTAGGGGCAAGCAGGCAGGTAGGCAGGCGAGTGGTTGGAGTCAGCAGTCCTGGATTGTGAGAGAGACTAAACGGGCAGTCAGACATCCCTCAAGGGATCCCAGATTGTAGAGGGTGCAGGCTAGGCTGAGGGACACCTTCCACCCGTGTATAAATTTTGTGCACTGGGCCTCTAATTTTATATAAAATTAATACATAAGCATCCTTCTAGCATGGAACTTTCTTGGACCACTAAGTGTTCCCTAACTTCACTCAGGGACGCTTGCCTTGGATTACAGCACCACCATCTGGAAAGCCTGCCTATAGATCTACTATCAGAATCCCACCCACGTTCAATGCTATCTCCCATTGGGAACCCCGAGCATTTAGTTTGAATCACTCATATATTTTTTCTTTTCTTTTTTTAATATTTGTATTGATTTCAGAGATGAAGGGAGAGGGAGAGTTAGAAATATCAATAATGAGAGAGAATCTTCGATCAGCTGCCTCCTGCATGCCCTCTACTGGGGATTGAGCCCACAACCCTGGGTATGTGCCTTGACTGGGAATCAAACAAGCGACCTTTTGGGGCATGGATTGATGTTCAACGAATGAGCAACATCGCTGGACACTCATACTTTTCTTGCACTGCCTTGTTTATAGTTATATGAGTGGCAGTTTGACCCACTTGTAAGTTAATTAAGAACACGATTGATCTAATAGTCATTGTATTTGTTAAATCACTTATCACAGTATCTTAAACACAGTCAGTACACAGGCTGTCTATTGAATCATACTGAGAAACAGACAGTGGGTGAACACCACATGGAAGGCAAGAAGTTGGAGAGAGGGGTAGTCTTGCAGATTGCTTTAAAGTGGTGTCTTGCTCTCAGTAACTGTTCCCACCTCAGCATTGCCTTTTAGATCAATGCTAGTATTTTAGTAGTTTACTTGACAAACTTCTACATATCATCTAATCTACATAGACATAAAAGTCAAATGCAAATTTGTATTTCTGTAGGAAGTCTTTTTCATATTATTGCACTTCTTAGGACAGGGTGTCTGCAGACAAATTTCAGTGGAGGTCATTAGTACAGATCAAATTACAAATTTTGGTTGATGTGACTTTTAAAAAAATGTTTTAAATAAAAATAATACATGTTTTTGTTTTTTTAAAACCCTGTACAGCTTAGAAGACTGGTATTTTGTTTGTTTTGTTTTTTTGTTCATCCTTATCTGAGAACATTTTTTCATTGATTTTTTTTTTTACAGAAAGTGGAAGGGATGGGGAGAGACATAGAGAGAGAAACATTGATGTGAGAGAGACACATCTATTGGTTGCCTTCTGGCATGCACCTCTACCAGGGCCAAGGATCTAGTCTGAAACTGAGGTATGTGCCCTTGATGGGAATTGAACCCAAGATCCTTCAGTCTGTGGGCTGATCTCTGCCCACTGAGCAAAACTGGCTAGGGCAAAAAGCTCTGTTTTATTCTTTTGTTTGCTATCAGACTCTGCGAAGGAAACACCTTTAACCATTTTTATTTTTTATTCTCTTAGTGGTTATGTTTTTCTCTAAATAATTTGGTTAGGTGTCTGCTTCTGGAATTTTTTCAACCTTGAGAATTATCTATTAGTTTATTGTTATATCTTCATTTAAAAAATAATTGTAAATTCTCTTTTGGTATGAAATTTTATCTTTCTAGCCAGTGCTATTACCCTCTCTGGTCAATTTTTATTTAAATGAAGGTAAAAATAGGAAATAGGAGGGCAAATTTCTTTTTAAGCCTTATTACTGCAAGAAAACTTCGTAATTTAAGGTATATAAATTCTGGGAACCTGTAATTCACTTTTAGATAAGCCTAATTTGGTCCTTTTGATGTTTTACTTATTTATAGTTTCTGGAAATGCACTCAAAGTGAAAAAGGTGAAATATCTGTGGTTTTCTTAATGCAGCCACTTTTAACATAATTAAAGAGTTTGATGGGATCATTAATAACCTTATTTTCTTGCAGCATTCTACTTCATAGACAAAATAAATTAATGAGAGAAAGATGATGATTGTAAAATGTCCCTTGCGAAAGGAAAAATACCAGTGGAAATATACTAATCCAGTTAATTTAAAATATTCCAAAAAGAATCTCATCTCTGCCAGCGTGCTAACCTCTCTCTTGTTCCCTACAGGATGGATGACATACTGGTTGGGGCGCCTCTCTTTATGGAACGTGAATTTGAGAGTAACCCCAGGGAAGTGGGTCAAGTTTACCTGTATATGCAAGTGAGCGCTCTCATCTTTGAAGACCCACAGGTGCTCGCAGGCACGGAGGTTTTTGGGAGATTTGGTAGTGCTGTGGCTCCCTTAGGAGACCTGAATCAAGATGGATACAATGGTAATTTACACCAATGTGTGGAAATTGTGGGTGTGTCATAATTCATTGTTATGGTGGCATGGACATTTTGAAGTATTGAAGTATTGACAGTGGTGTGTATGATGCAGTTGATGCTTAATATACTATCAAAAATCTCAAGGCAACTTAAAATTTATATGTTTTGATTAATATAGGTGTTACATAGAAATTTTCTCATGTTGATTTTGTGTGTCATACAACAGATCTAAATAAAGGCAGTGACAGTTTTAAAGAGATTAGCCAAAGAACATAGATGTATAATCTCTAGACTCAGATGAGAGTGAGGTGATGGCCAGAGGGAAAAGGGGTGGAGCTGGGTGGAGATGGGCAAAAGGGGGGAATTGGGGACATCCATGATAGTGTCAACAATAAAAATAAAGTTAAAAAATTGATATTTGGATTTAGTGACTCAAAGAGAACTAGGGAATCTTTGATATGAACCGAGTCAAAAACAGATAAGTATATGTCCATATGTTAGTAAATAAGTATATGTCCAGTATGTTATGGCCTTTTGATTAAACTTGGTGGCCTATATATGGGTGTTGCTAAATTTAAAAAATTTTTATTAAAATCTTTCAATGTTTACATTATTGCAGGTGTTTGGTCTGTAAACTTCAGGTGAAAGGCAGCTTCAACATTTATAATAAAGTAGGGTTAAATAGTTAGTTTAGGATTGTGGTTCTTTAAGTTAGGAATTTATAAATGTCTTGTAAGTACCCTGTTCTCAGAAAATATGCATGTTCATGTAAAATCTTGCATATATTTTCAGGGTCTTTAAATTAAGAACCAACATATAGTGGGTTTCTTAATTGAAGTAGGTGGAATGATTAGGAATTTGCTCTAACAAAATAGCCTCAGCTATTGCATCAGCTCAGTATTCCTTACTACTTTTGGCAGGTATTGGTATTGAGTATCTGGTATAAAACCTCGATTTTTCAGACTTCAATTTGGCAGACTTCATATTTAATGGACAGATTTCTGGTCCATATGTCATATGTGAAAACTAACATCCTATTAATTTTAAAATGCCTCTAAAATTTGCTTATAATTAAACTAGGGGCCCAGTGCAAGAATTCGTGCACCTTGAAAAAAACTTTGGGCTATGCACCCCCACCCAACCCCTCCCACCACAAACCCTGATCCCCTATCTGCTGGCAGCCCTGCTCCCACCACTGCCACTCCCACATGCTGACTGCACCAGCTCTGCTCAAACCCATTGATGGCACAGAGCAATTGGGGCTGTTGCCAGCAGTGAATGTGAGCAAGGCTGACACCATCAGCCCCTGAGAATAGCAGCTGCTGTCCCTATCATCCCTCAGGAGCAGGGGGAGGTGGAGAAGCCCTCAGGGGTGATCAGGGCCAACAGCCTCCCCCCGACCCCCCACTCTTTACACCCACTGATGTCGCCGAGCAAACAGGACAGCAGCAGGTGCAAATGGCAGCTCCAGTGCCAGCTGTGGGCTTGAGCAGCAGCTGCTGCCCTGATCACCCCCCAGGAGTTAGGAAAGGTGGAGAAGCCCTGAAGGGCAATTGGGGCTCGCACATGCTGCCACTGCTGAGCAATCAGGGCTGGCGCCAGGAACAGGCAGCAGGTGTGAGCAGGGCCAGCGCTGGGTGGGACTGTAGCATGTGGGAGCAAAAAATTTTCAGTAACCACCAGAGGCTTGCCCCAGTGACAGCAACTGCACCCCACCTTGGTCTGATGCCCCTGCTCACCTGCTCCACAATCCCGCTGTGGCTGATGCCTGCCATGTTCCATGTTCTGCCACTTATTGCCTGCCATGATTCCCTGGTGGTCAGCACATGTCATAGTTCAGCTGTTCAGTTTATTTGCATATTAGCATTTTATATATATAGATTAACAGGTTACTTTTTGTTACTAATTCACTGTTATTTTTAACAAATTTTATTAAATAGGGCAATGTTGGAAAAACTGTAGTAATTTCACTGATATAAATAAATATTACATATCTACAACTAAATCTGGTCTACAGATTTAAATCCAAGTGTCACTGCTCATAGTGTTCAGTGAATGATTAGCACGTGATTACACCACAGCAAGAGTGGTGATTGGTTCTGTTGTCACGTGATTTTCTGCAGCAGTTTGAAAGTGTGCTGGCAGATGTTTGGAGTTGTGCTAAGCCATGCCCCAACTGTGTGCCTTTGTTTACTCGTCGTGACTGGTGCATACAAGCATTTACTAGTCCTATTCAGTAGAAATTTAAAATTACTGTAATACATATAGAAATTAAACTTTTCTGTGAAATTAAACTTTTCTTACATACTTAATTTTAATTACATAAACATGTCTATGTATGTAAAAACAGGTAAAGTAACTAGTTTGTCAATTTTTTAACATACACCTTAGAAAAATCTTTATTATATAATTAGAGGCCCAGTGCATGGATTCTTGCACATGGAAGGGAAATTAATTAGAAGATGGCCAGCAGGGTGGGACTGGGCGAGATGACCCAGACACACCCTGGAGCCAACCTCCTGTAATCCCTCCCCAGCTGGCCACGTCTGGGGCAGCACTGGAGCTTGAAGGGCATCTGTGGAGAGAGCGGGGCCCTCTGGCACGTGGGGCCCCTCAGCCTGGCCTGTGGGGATGGGGCTGAAACTGGCAAACCGACATTCCCCAAGGCATCCCAGAGTGTGAGAGGGCACTCTGCAAAGTTGCTGTCGCTTTGTAGCTCCTGAATGAGCATCTGTCCCCTGGTGGCCATTATGTGTTGGCCAGTCGCTTAGACTTTTATATATATTGATGGACTTTTGGCTTTAATGGACATCCCCTCGCTTGAATTAGTCTTTTATAAAGAGGTTTTATTGTATTGTACCTTTTATGTTGAATGGAGAAAAGACAACAAATAACTTACTCTTGCTGCACTACAGCAAATTTCATGGGAAACAATAAGCCCTTTAGACTGTATGGCACTGCTCTTTGAGTGCACTTTTTTCTATTTCAAAACATTCTTCTTTATTTAAAAAATACGCTCATGTGTCTCTGTAGATGTTGCCATTGGTGCGCCCTTTGCAGGCCAGGATCAAAGAGGCAAAGTGTTCATTTACAACGGGAACAAACATGGCTTGAACACCAAGGCTTCCCAAATTTTGCAAGGAGCGTGGGCATCACAGGCTATCCCTTCTGGCTTTGGCTACACTTTACGAGGAGACTCGGACATAGACAAGAACGATTACCCAGGTGAGATTTTCTTTCTTTTCCCACGGTAGAGTTCACCTCCTAGAAAGAGCCATTCTCTGGGAAAGGCCTCCTGTGTAAGCAGCTCTCTCAGACAGCGGAGGCTAAGCTTCCCCACTGCACAGGTTCTTGGTGTAGGATTCCAGAGTGACTTTCATGAGAATTTGAAGGAAGACAAAACAAACACTCCCTTTCCTGTCAAGAAAAGCAAGATGGCTTTTAAAAACTGCATTGGACATAAAACTTGTTGACTTTGCAACAGAAGTTTTTCTTCGAAACCCCTTAGCAATTTGGTCTCCATTGACAAAGACAGATACCTTTCTATCATTGACAAAGACAGATAATTTATTTTAATCCCATAATTCCTTTCTGATCTCATATTAATTAACTTATGAACCTCAATGTTTCTATCATAAAGCTCACGTTTTTAGAGCATAAGTATTTTCCAGGTATATTTTGGGCCTTCCAAAGATAGATCAAATATTTTAAAGTGAAGCAAAATTAACTGGTTTGTAACAGAAATAATAAACTATCTTTTTTTTTCAATTAGAATTGACAAACATCATTATATTATTAACCAGCTTTGATTATCTAATTTTTACTGAGGACTCATGGAAATCCATAAAGCAAAGAGCTACCATTCATGTTTTGGGCATGTCATATGAAAATATGGATTGGTCTTAAAGAATTGTTTCTATAATCAGGATTTTTAGCAGAGAACATTAGACTTCTTGGTTTTATGGTTCAATTTTCGTTTTTATGTTGGTTATGTTAAGATGGTTCAATAAATACTTAGAAGTCATTAATAGTTAACTGACAGTTTCAACTATTTATTAAAGCCTTTCTCTTTCCACCACCCCTCCCCTTATTGAGTATTTTCCATATGTAGTAGAGCTTTTTCTGATTTGGGGCAGTGTTTCAATCACTGACTTGGCTTTCTCTTCCCCTCTGGGATCAGGCAAAAAGGATCCTGCAACATGTTCTTATAAACTTGCCAGAAATATTTCATGGCACTAGCATAGACATTATAGTGGGCTCAACATGGATTAGTATTACATTTTATACAAATTTGTTTATGAATGCATGCTTCCTACAGCAATTTTAAGAGCATCTTGTTAGATTTATATTTGCAGGTCATACTATAATAATCTAATCAATGATGGTTTTTGGTATTTGAGGGAAGGGTCTGAGATGTATTATGTTCTATTTTAAATGATCCAAAAATTAGATCCTCTATGTAATTTCTTCCCAAAATATGTCAGGGTAATTAATGAAATTCAACTCCTGAGTTGCAATTTTAGACAGTTAATTTAGAAAGTTATTGCTATTCATCAAGCAGTGCCTTATACTAGGCAAAGAAATAAAGGGAGTGTCCATTAAAGAGCCAGCCCACCAACTTCCTTTGAAGTCTTCTAAAAAAATACCATGGAGGAGAGAAATAGGAAACAACTTATCTCTCAAAGGAATATTCCCTTCAGTGAAGAGTGGACAAAAAGGAGTAGCACAGGGAACAGAGAAGCTATTTATTAATTATGTCTTTTTCATCCCATTTTCACAATTATGAAAGGTCATTTGAGGCCATTTGCTAGATAACACCTTTATCTCCTGAGGCTGATTCAATTTAGAGTGACTGATGATGTAAATGCTGTGTTACAGCCATCTTTTGTCAAGTAAATGTTCTTCACTAAGGCAAGACCAAAGGCCATTAAGTTGAATTTTTATTCCTCCAGATAGTCTTGAGGTTTTCAGAGTTCCTATTAATTAGTAGACTGGTTCTGGTCCAGATTCTGCCTCTTAAAGGGGGCTATAGGTGTTTTGTGATTTATGATCCTATATCATTTTCCCTGCTACTCATCTTCTCACAGAAAGAATGCCACTCAAAAAAGCCTTTTTATGTTGACACCAAGTACCTGAGGCCTTATCAAGAGAAAAACTGGCTAATAGACAGGCAACTAGATTCTGTTAACTAGCAGAACAGATTTGAAATTTACAGGCATAACTCAGGAATCAGAAATGTCACTTCCTTCATTTTTATGTCAATGAATTCCATTTAGCACTCAAGCCTCCATTTCCACAAAGGCGGAAAACCTTAATCTTGCAGTCACATCTAGATTCAGACTTAATCTCAGTGAGCAGAGTGGCTGTGAGCAAGAGAAGGGACATCTCCCCAGTCCTCACTGATGAGCTGTGGCAGCGGGCAAGTTATTTGATTTCTCAGAGCTTCTATTTTCTTTTCTGGTTTTATGGGGCCAATAATACCCACTTCCCTGGGTTGTGTGCTTGCACTTTCTAGGTGTAGAAGGTTTTTTTTTTTATAAAATGTTGTGAAATGGCTTACAATAGGAAAGAGTATCAATCTAATTAATATGAACATAATCAAAGCTGCTTAACTTTACAGGTATGTTAGGCTGCCAAAGATTTTGAGGAAAACATGCATTCTAGGATGCTGGAGATGAACAACATAGGTTTAAAACTTGACTTCACTGTTTTCCAGCTGTGTACGAGTGAGACAATTTCTTAACCTCTCTGAACATCAATTTCCTACTCTGTAAAATAAGATAATAATATGTTGGTATAAAGATGAAATTTAATTTTTATATCATGAAATGATGTCTTTAGTTAAAATGAGATTATATAGAACATAGTTCAATAAATGGCGGCTCTTCAAACATATTTTAAAACAGACTATTTTGGAGGTATTCTTTTCCTTAAGCACACTGATTTATATGATTTTATTTTGTTTATTCAATTTTCATAGTCCCCAAGCTTACTTTATAATATAATATTTACTTTTCCTGCTCCAGACCCATAAGAACATAGATATAGAGACCCTACCGGCTGAAGACCACTCATAATATTCCTGTGGCTGGACCCTCACTAGAGAATTCCCGTAATCATTTCATGCTGCCTGGCTATGAAATGATTCCACCACTCACCCTCCTTAAGTGGGAGATGAAGCATAAGGGCTTCTCCCATATCTCACTACTGTGATTTACTGGGTACCAGAAATGAAAAATGCTCTTTCCTCTCCCTTAGCCATTTAGGGGTATTTAATTTCTTATAAATTAGGCCCACATTAAGAAGATAACAATGGCAATTTAAAGGAAGGAACTGATAAAATAGCGTAAGTGGAAAATTGATAAGACTTGCTAATGTCTGGCTGTGATGGAAAATAGAGGAGTTAGGGTGGAAAGAAGAAGGGATGTTAAAGATGACTCTGGACTTTTGATCTGGTGTCCTGAGAAGAGTATGGTATAACAGAAAGACATGAGAGATTTAGTTTTAGAAATGTAAAGATTCTATTGTAGAAACAATATTTGGAATAATTTTGCTTAACCTCTCAGTGTTTTTAGACTTCTAAACAATAAACATTGTCATCAGTACGCATTCATAAATAAGAATCATAAATATTTTCATTTTCTGGTTTCAAAATTCTTTTTCCTATAAAAAAAAAATAGATGTGTTCAGATTTCTACACTGGTGCTCATTGGGAAATTATGGTTGACCAGAGGAGTATCTTGTATACATTAATAGAGTTAAAACTTTTCAGAGAAGAAACAGCTGTGATATTCAGGAATCCCTAAAATGCTATGATATAGTCTAATCCTGTTAAACATGATTGTATAACAAGGTCATCTGCTAAATGCACAGTCCAGACATTGCGGGGAGGAGTGGAGGAGGGAATTGCTGGTTTTATTGAGGAACAGAAATCATACAGGCAATAAAAAGAAGAGGAAAACATAGGCTGACTGCCAAGACTATCATTGTCTTGTTCAAGCCTCTAATAGACCATGGTGATATCATGAAGCCATCTCAGACAATTATACCAAATGTAATAAATGACTCATTTTATGTTTTAATGAGTGGTGTGTGTGTGTGTGTGTGTGTGTGTGTGTGTGTGTGTGTAAACAACCCGGCTAGAGAGAAGCTGCACATGAGAAGAAATAAAAGGGTGGCTTTAACCAAGAGAACAATGCATTTTAATCAGACTTTGAGCTCATTGAATTGATGTGAAGTTTAGTTGAACTAAGTTTAAATCTTATAGTCAAAATTTATTTTAGCTTCTCAAACTGCTACCAAATGTTTTATGAAAAGAAAAACATTCTGTTCTTTCTGAGCAAGATTTTCATTATAAACACATTAGAAATTAGAATATACATTTCTTGTAAAAAAGTCTTTATAAATTTAGATTAAATTGAATAAATTAAGTCAACTGAAGGAGTTTTTGGACTTGAATCCAGCAGTGTCATAAAGATAAGTAAAAATGAATGGAGAGATAAAAAAAAAAAAATCAGGTTCTAAATCCAGTTTGCCCAAGACACTTCTCTGGGCCTTACTTTTTTCACCTGAGAGTGATGTGCATGTATGGGACACTTCTCCAAGGGTCTTTTTTATTTTTTAAAAATATATTTTATTGATTTTGTACAGAGAGGGAGGGAGAGAGATAGTCAGAAACATCAATGAGAGAGAGTCATTGATCAGCTGCCTCTTGCACACCCCCTACTGGGTATATGCCCGCAACCAGGGTACATGCCCTTGACCGGAATCGAACCTGGGACCTTTCAGTCCCCAAGCCAATGTTCTATCCATTGAGCCAAACCAGTCCCGGCTCCAAGGGTCTTTTTAAACTCTAACTTAGATTCTGTAAACTAAGATCTAAACTTACTGCCTCCTCAGATTTCTCTGTAATATTGGATAAATAATTAAGGCTCTATCTTGGGGGGTGGGGGGCATTTAATAAAACATATAAGACATTTTTTCCTAACTTTTTCTAAAAAATAATTTTAGGCTGACAGAAAAGTTGCAAAAATAGAGTCCCATAAACCCTCCTGTCAGATTCCCCTAATATTAACATACTAGAGGCCCGGTGCATGAAATTTGTGCATGGGGGGGGGTGCTGGAGGGTTGTCCCTTAGCTCGGCCTGCACCCTCTCCTGGGACCCCTTCAGGGGATGGCTGACTGCCAGTTTAGGCCCGATCCTGGCACAATCTGGGACCACTGG